GTGACCTTAGAGTGCCATACCAATATTGATTATTATTTCCCTTTGCTCAAGTCTTTCCTTCAAAAGGTTGTGCTTGTTTGCCCTTTTTTAAAGCTAGGAAGTTATACAAATTTAAGTTTCCAGCAAATGATTTTGTTGTGTGAGTAGGAGAGAGGTGTGCTGGAGACAGAAGCAATCTCTGTGATGGGTACAGGATGATGAGAGCCTGTAAGTGTTTCTTCCTTTCTCTCCATTAATGGCCACAGTGTGGACAGAGCCTTTTTTTAAAAAAAATTGCTATATTTTTTGAACAATTCTTTGTACAACCAATATCTAACTTAGAAATAAGTGAATTGAGGTTTTTGTATTTCTCTCTGACCCTGCCAAATCTAATTAAGTTGCTTTTTCGAACTTGTGCATGAGCCCTGATCCCTTCTCTCTCTCCCCCCGCCCCGTTTTCCAATGTCTCTGGAAAAAAGGATCAGATTTCCCCATCAGAGAACAGGGAATTCTCATTCAGGATATTTGTCAGTGAAAATTGATTTAATCTGGTTCACCAAAAAAAAATCTTCACTGCTAATTTCCATGAATATACCCATTACATTTTGATACAGCAAGACAGGAATAGGTACCAATACAATGAATGCTATTACATTGTGACAGAAAGTTAAAAAGAAAATTATTTTCCCTTTGTAGTGTTTCTTCTGACATGGATAGGAGGCAGCATGTTACCTTGGAAAGAGTACCCACACTGTAAGCCAAAGTTTCGTCATTAGGCCAGAGCCTTAGGTACACACAATTGTAACTACCAGGGGCAGCTAGATAGCACAGTGGATAGCACCAACCCTGGAGTCAGGAGGAACTGAGTTCAAATCTAGCTTCATGCACTTATAATCTGTGTGACCCTGGGCAAGTCACTTAACCCTGATTACCCCCTCCCCGCCCCCCAAAAAAGACAAGGAACTACCTACTCAATAAAGGCCAGGGTGGAATCAGAGGACTTGGGTTGAAATCCTACCTCTGCTGCTTACCACTTCTGTAAGCTTCGACAAGTCACAACTTCCCCAAGCTTCAATTTCCTTTCCTTAAAATAAGGGAATTGGACCAGATGACCTATGATTCTATAAAAAATAATTAGTATGCAGGTGATATCAAGAAACCAGGCCTACAATGAGGTATAATAAGAAAATAGATTAAGAAATTAAATATTCCTTTTCAAGAACCGAGGTGCTGATCTCCTGGAGCTAAAGACAGCTCACTAGCATTCAACAGAGTCTCAGACTTGGAAGAGAGGACTCAGAGGCAACTAGTACTTGTAGTACCTAAAGAAGAATTCCTTCAAAAACATGCCCAACAAAGTGGCCATTGAAGCTTTGCTTGATGACCTGTGTTGGGGGTTCTGTTTATCTCCTGAGAGGCAGCCCATTACCCTTTTGGATACCTCTAATTGTTAGGAAATTATCTGATAATAAGCTTTAATATGCTTCTTTGCATTCTTCCCATTGCTTCTGGTTCTGCCCTCTGAGGCCAAATGAAGAGTTTAAACCCTCTTCAATATGACAGCACTTCATATAATTAAAAAACACTATTGTGCCTTCTCTTTGCCAAGTTTTCTGTAGGCTAAACATTGCCAGTTCCTTTGACTGATCTGCTTATGACATGATCTTAATCATCCTGGCAGCCTGTGTACAGGAATGCCTGTACAGTGAAAAAGATAGGGTTTTGGAGTCAGAGGACCTAGCTCTGTTTACAAATTATATGACCTCTGGGTCTCATCTGGAAAATAAGAGATTCGACTAAATGGCCTTCTGGCTCTAAATGCATGATGTTATAATCCTTTCTGGGTGCTCTCTAGTTTACCAATGTGTTTTTTCTAAAGTGTAGTCCCAGAACAAAAGCAAATTAAGTATAATATATAACCTGGACAGAGTTCAGCAATTTCACCATGTGCAGCATACTACAGACTACAGGGAAAGTTAATAACTAAACAAACAAACAAGTTAACAATTTACTCTCCAACTCATTTATACCTTCACAATAACTCTCGTATATAGCCCTTCATGTCAATGACATGTCAATGATAAGCAATACTTACTCAAGTATTTTCTTATTCCTGCCTCCAGTCTATCCTCTTTCCAACTCATTCTCCACAATTCTAAACACCCCTGCCCTCTAATAGATTGCATATATTTTTTGTGTCCTTAGATCTTTGAACTAGAAAGGACCAAATGAAAATTGGATTAGTAGGAGCCTAGTAAAAGAGAACCTAGTCGTCCTTAATGAGTTTAGATCACTATGCCCAAATGACTTATAACTTTATGTACTGAAAGAAACTGAATGATTACTGGACTATTTTCAATCACCATTGAAGGAGCATTGGAAGTTGGAAAGGTGTCAAATGGAAAAAGAGCAACACTGTCTTGATTTTCAAGACAGGATTCAATAAACTATAGGTCAGTGAACTTGACATAATTTCTGGAAAAATCCTGGATGAATTAAAGGGATTGAAAGTTTTTAACCCCAAGTATATGGACTTTTAAAAAATTTAATAACTGTATTTCAATATATTTGGTTTCCTTTGTAATCTCATGTAGTTTATACTATATAGTTAAACATTCCTCTGAGAAGAGGTCAATAGGCTTCATAAGAAAGCATAAGAGGGGTCCTAATACAAAATAACTTAAGAATCCCTGGTTCCAAGGATATCATTAAAGAAGTACCTACCTAGTGTACATCTAGGAAAGGAAAGAGGGCTCACAAAGAGCAGGATGGCTTAATAATTAATAATTCATTCCATACTATCCTCATTTCCTTTTTTGAAAGGGTTGCTAGATGATTGGATGAAGGGCTGAAGTGGGAGATACTACTGACATAGTTAATCAAGATTTTAGCAAAGCAGTTATCTGTCTTTTGTGGCTATCTTGATGAGGAAGAGGCTAGATTCAAAAGTGATTGAATTGTTGGGCCAAAGGAAGAGTCATCACTGCCTCAATGGCTCCATGGAAAGGCATTTCTGATGGAAAGCCCAAAAAATCTGTGCTCAGCCCATTACCAGGGTTATGCTGGAGCCAGCAAAAGCTGGAACCAGTTGTGAACTTTTCAGGGTGAGCATTTGCTCCTTGGAAGTTGGCAAGTGCTACAAATGAGGGCTTGATTTGTGATTTTGTTGATTGTCTAGAATTGAGAAAATGTTAATAATGCAGATTTTCAGTTTTCACGTGCATATTTTCTCCCTAGAGAGTAATTTATTAAACATTTACCATGTTACTACTGTCTTTTATTTACTATTTATCATCTTTATCAATGACTTGCGTAAATGGATAGATAGCTTACATATCAGATTCATAAATAACACAAAGCTACAAGGAATAGCTAATATGATGGACAACATGATCCCAAAAAATCTCTATTGTCTAAAACATTGGGTTAAATATTATAATTAATATATTTAATAGAATACATGAGGTCTTTTTTTTTACTTTTTAAATTCTGAACTTAACAAAACCCAAACATTTCTAGAAATTCTAGAAAAAACCAGAATTATACAGGAAATTATGAATCTCTAATAAAATACATGTGGCAGCTAGGTGGCACAGTAGATACAGCACCAGGCCTAGAGTCAAGAAGACTCATCTTCCTGAGTTCAAATCTGGCCTCAAAAATTTATTAGCTGGGACCCTGGGCAAGTCACTTAACTCTGACTCAGTTTCCTCATCTGTAAAATGAGCTGGAGAAGGAAATGGCAAACCACTCCAGTATCTTTGCCAAGAAAACCCCAAATGGGATCACAAAGAGTCTGACACAACTGAACAACAACAACAAAGACTTACAAATTTGGTTTCAAAAAAATCAGTTTCAGAAATACATGACAGAGGAGATATAGACAATTTGAAAAAGATCAAAGGTGGGGGGGTGTTAATTGAGTTTCTAGGACAAGAGAGGTGACAGTCATAATTTTTAGACCCCATCAGGAGTATTGTATTCATTTCTGAGTGCCAGATTTTAGTAAAGGCATTGATAAGCTGGAGAGCAGGGAAAGGAATGTGGCCTGGATGATAAAGCTCCTTGCCATGACTGAAGATTGGTCAAAGGAGGTGTGGATGTTTAAGCTGGAGAAGAGAAAGCAGGAGGTACATAATAGCTACCCAAGTATTTTTTAAAGTTGTCACGTGGAAGACAGATTAGACTTGTACCACTTGACTCCAGAGGGCAGGACAAGAAGGGCAGGATAAAAGTTGCAAAGAGACAGGTTGTCTTGTTGTTAGAGAAAAAACAATTAAAACTGTCCAAATGTAGGATGGGATGCTTTGGGAGTACCGAGTTCCTCATCATTGGATGTCCTCAAGCAGGGGCTAAATAACTATTTGTCAGTGAAGGTATTAATTGCATTAGAGGCCTTTGGGGTCCCTTCCAACTCTGGGATTCTGTAATTCTGGCTATACAAAAGTCATCAGGAGTTTGAAAGAACCAGGTTCAGGGATAGGCTGAGGCTTTGGGCAGGGTTCCTAGGAAGCTCAGGGAATGAAGGCATAGCTGGTCCTAAAGAGTGAAACTGCTGTTGGGGTGGGGAGGGGGAGGGGGAGGGAAGAGAGGGTAGGTGGAGAATCCTTGACCCTATAGGAACCATTCAGGAGACATTGAGGAAGGAAGTATGATTCTTGGTTGTCTTTTAGCAAGTCACCTCTAAAGCCATGTGTCCAAGGCCTTCTGGTGTTCTATATTTTCACTCCTAAACAAGCACCTATCATTTTCCCTCCCTCAGGTTAAAGTTGGAACTAGCAAACCACTTTCAGGACTCTAGTTGGGTGAACTAAGATGGTCCAGGATGGAGGCAGGTGACCACTTCCAGGAACTATTCTCTCTTCAACTAAAGATGGAGCTTAGCACTGTGGAGGTCCTAGGCAATAGTCCTGACCATTTTCTAAAGATCCTGGCACCTTTCTCCAGGGATTGGGATATGGGGAGGGTGTGCCCTCTTGTTATGCTGTGCAATTAGAGACTAATGTCTCTGTCCCTCACAGTGAACGGCTACCACTCATCAGGGACCCCAGTGCATCAGTCAGAGCCTGTCCACATGAGTCTCCGAAAACCCACTGGTGATTTCCAGGTAAGGGATATGGGCTTCAAGTCTGGGATTTGGGTGGTAGGAGCTATGAATAATATAGGCAGAGTCTGATGGATTCAGGTAGTTAGTTGACTAGTTAAGGGTATAGTGAGGTCACTCTGTCTTCCAGTGGTTTAAAAAAAAAACCACTCAGATACCTGTAGATCAACCCCAAAATCCCTGCCATCACCATCAGGAAAAGCAGTAACCTGTCATGTCCCCCAGGCTAACCTTTTGTGATTTGTTTTCCCCTTAATGACATTTCTTATAGGTTCCTAAATGTAGAGTTGTAAGATAACTTAGAGGTCATCTAATCCAGCTCCTTTGTTTCTAAATGAATAAATCGAGGTCCAGGGAAGTTAAGTGACTTGCCTAAGGTTAAACAAATAACAAGTAGCAGAACTGGACTTTAAACCCCTCTGACTCCAAATCTATCTGTGTTTCCACTGTTGAATGATGCCTCTTCTTGATTGGTTTCATTTAGGATCATAAATTTAGAGTTGGAAGAGGTCTAAAATATTATGTTTGGTACTGATTCTTTTCTTTATAGAAATATTTTCGAAAATGATAGTGTGATTTGACCGGGTACTGCATCACTGTAGTGATGGGCCTGGATTTTACAGAATCATAGAATTTGATACTTGGCAGTCAGTAAGCATTTATTAATCAATCAGTCAATCAATAAACATTTTACAAGTGCCTGCTGTGTACCAGGCACCATGCTAAGCACTAGGTATATCCAAAAAAAAAAAAGGGCAAAAGACAGTCCCTGACCTCAAGGAGCTCACAATTCAATGGAGCAAATAACATGCAAATATATAATACATATTATATATAACACACATATTTATGTATAACAATATATAAATATATAATCATACCATATACAGGATAAAATTAAGATAATCAACAGAAAGAAGTCACTAGAATGAAGGGGAATCAGGAAAGGCTTTCTGTAGAAGATGAGATTTTATCTGGGACTTAAAGAAAGGCAGGGAAGCCAGAAGTCAGAAGAAGGGACCTCATTGACTATCTTTTTTAAACTTTTACAGGAGTTAACATATCAGACAAGTGGTATGTTTCATAACAAATTACCCAAGTACAGGTGACTGGAGAGTGGGTAAAGAATAAGAAAAACCGTATTTTGTGTAAGCCTGGGTCTGCTATGTAATTTAGTAAGGTCTAATTAAATTTAGCATCACTCTGCCATTGTGGTCAAACTGTCAGTGTGTCATAAATTATTGTAGCTATAGAGTAGCTGTCCTGTGGTTATGCATTTTAGTTCTGGAGTTGTTAAAATAAGCATAATCATATTGGCTGACATTTCTGTTGCTTTTTAAGGTTTGCAAAGCACTTTGCATATATTATCTTATTTGACTTGTGAGATGGGTATCACAACATTTGTACTACCTATTTTAACACATGAGGAAACGTATCACACAGCTAGTAAGCACAGGACAGGGACTTGAACCCATCCCCTGACTCCCGAGTCCAGTTACTAATTGTGTTTATTGCATTAATTATGGGTGTGGTGGTAGAATATTGTATGGCTGTTCAGACTTCTTCTAGATAAAATATACAGTGGAGTCCCCTAAGGATTAATCTTATTTAGCATAGTTTTATAAACGACCAGGAAAATGGAGCGTGTACTAAAATTTGTAGGTGACATCAAATCTTCCCTTCTACTGAAATTCCAAGCTGACAGGGATAGATGGCAAAGATAACTTCCAAGACTGTTAGTGACCTGAGAAATTACTGAGGAGCTTCAGCAATATTTGTAGGGTAATAGATCTTCAACTATCATAAGATACAGGAGCACAAAGCTAGAAGAGGACTCAAAAGCTACCTAGTCCAACCAATACCTGAATCACCACTACAATACACCTGAAAAATGGTCCTCTCATGGGGGCTATGTATGAGACAAAACATCTTCCAAGAAGTTAATGGGGAAAAAATCCCCTTCCCTTTAGATATGAATATTAGCTTCAGTCTGTGGAGATCCTAACTCCCCTCCCCACCTCCACACACAAATATACCCCAAACAGTACTCTACAACAGAATGAAGTAATACGAGATCAGGTGGCCTAGTGGAAAGATTGTGAAGTCTAGAGTCAGGAAGACCTGAGTTCAAATCCAGCCTCAGACACTTATTAGCTATGTGACCCTGGGCAAGTCATTTAACCCTGTGTTCCTTAGTTTCCTCATCTTAAAATGAAGGAAATGGCAAACTCCTCCAGCATGTTTGCCAAGAAAACCCCAAATAGGGTCACAAAGAATCAGACATGACTGAAATGACTGAACAGCAACAACAAAGCTGCCTATGCAGAAGGTTGACTCTTGTTTGTCCTTCGTTCTCAAGAAGGAACGTGACACCGAGAAGGTGATGTCATGACTTGCAAGTTAATTGGATTTAAGTGAGGGAGGGCTGTGCAAAGTCACCAGCCTCACTATCTCCTCCAGAGCCATCTGGGTCCAGTGTCAAGATATAGATCAGGATGACTGGAAATGGCCCTGTGTGCAGTGGGAGACCTTGGCCTTTTTAAGCTAAGGTCTTTCCAAGTTCTCACTTTGACTGAGGCAGTGCCCATTCAGTGATTAAAGCTAGGTAAGAAATGAGGTAAAGAATTGTATCTTTTACCTAGTCAAAAAAAATAAGTCAATATAGAAGGGGAAGATCCTCAGAGTTTCTGACCAGAACAGAAACAGTTGCTATTTATATTCACTCCGAGCCATCAGGGCCCAAGCTATGACCAGGTGAGGCTTGGGCTTGGATCTGTTGTTGGTCAATCGATGAGAACCAGCCTCACTCCAGCCTCATTTATTACTAAATAAATCTTAGAGTGGTGATGTCCTTCTCAGAGGGCAAAGTTAACCATCTTTGGGTGGGAACTCCACAGGAAAAAATTGTGAATGAGGACATCTCAGAAGAAAGGAAGGAAGGAAGGAAGGAAAGAAAGAAAGAAAGAGAGAGAGAGAGAGAAAGAGAGAAGGAAGGAGCTGCATTGCCCAACTGGAACCATCCAGTTGGGTCCCCAGTGGGGCATCTACTACTCACAGGTTGTTGTTTGTCCTTCTTTCTCAAAGAGGACCTTGACCCTGGGAAGGTGATGTCATGACTTGCAAGTGAATTGGATTTAAGTGAGGTAAGACTGTACAAAGTCACTAGCCTCATTCTCTCCTCTGGTGCCATCTGGGTCTAGTAGCAAGATATAGGATGACTGGAGATGGCCCTCTAGGTGGCACAGTGGATAGAGCACTGATCCTGGAGGACTTGAGTTCAAATACAGCCTCAGATACTTACTAGCTGTGGGACCCTTATAACTGACTCATATTTTTCCATCTCATAGCTGAGCCATTCTCCTCCTGGACCTCAAGAGAAAATGATGAGGAGAAAGATCATAGAATCATAGATTTAAACATGGAAGGCATTTTAGAGTTTAACTGGTCCAACCCTTTCATTTTGTAGATGAAGAAATGGAGGCACAGAGAGTGATTAAATGGCTTGTCAATAGCTAGATAGGCAATAAGTAACAGGACTCAGACAAAAAACCCAGATCTTCTGACTCCTGATCCAGTACTGCCAATGCTAACCCTGCCCTCCCCCCCTCCAAAAAATCACTCTAGGTAGGTAGGGGAGGAGGCTTGTTTATACACGAAATAGATGGTTTATAGTGTGTGGTAAAAAAAAGATATCAAGTAAGAGATGGGAGGCTAAGACCATAATGGATTGAGGGGAGAGAAAGCAGAATATTATCGAAACAGGTAGTGTGTGATCTGGATAGAACTGCCACAATATTGAACTGAGACCAGGAAATGTGCCTAAGGAATGCAAGGGAGAAGAAGGTGGTACAAAGCAGTACTGAGTTTGCTGCATGGGGAACAAATGGAAAGTTAATTTTTCCATAGGCATTTTGGATGGACTTGAGTGGATTAGGAGATACATGTGGAGGTGGAGGAGTCTGATGGGGAGAGTGCAGGTTTGGGTCATAAACAATAAGTAATAATGTGTGAATTGCCAAAGTTTGGAAAGCTATCTCTAAGACTGTGCTGCCCCACCATTGGACATTACCCTCCTTGTCACATTCCTGATTACAAAAGAACATACTGAAAAAAATGGGAATAGTTTTTTTTTAATTTATTGACATTTTTTATTTTTGAGCCTTTTATTTCTAAATATATCCCGCCCCGATTAGCAAGTCATCCTTTGTAAATAATATAATCATTGAAAACATGTAGTAGTCACCCACACTGTAGTGTTTCAAATCTCTCACATAGGTATATAGATATCTACTCACTCTCTGAACTAGCTTGCTCACTCTGATCTGCCCTCACACTAGCAGGTCTAGTTTCCCAGAGAAGGACCACCAGCAGCACATAGTTATATTTATTCTCTCAGAGTCCTAAGGGTAAACCTATTGTGGAAAGGAATATAATCCTGCTACTTGCCATTTTAGCTCTTGAGTCCCAACCGATGTCTTTCCCTTTTACCCAGCCCAGCTACTCATAATGATGACACTTTTAGATCTTCAACATAACCACTTACCTAGCAAGAAGGCAAAAGAAATAATTATAGCATCAAGGATAACCTGTATATTAAAGCAAATTTGTGAATAATAAAATATGTTACACAGACCTGGGTCACACTCTCCCAACCAATTCATTCAGTATCTGTAAGGGGGAGTGGGCATACATTTATAGCAGCCTGGCAAGGAATCGATCATATGTGTATTCAAGGCAGTTCACAACTCTGGTGATGTGATTGGTCCATTCAGGAATATCAGTACCACATGAAGCCACCTCTTTGTCAATTGCTTCCCTTCTGATCCTCACCTAGCAGAATCACCTCTATTTTTTTGTTCCCAGCCCATCATAGCATTTATAATCTCTTTCAACTTATAATCATCCTTAAAGGATGTTGGGCAAGTGTTGCACTATGAATTTGGCTGACAATTCTCTTTAAGCCATAGCACAGAGCTCATATAGCTGGCTCTCCAAGGGCACTA